ACATATTTTACTTTTAAGATAATCATGATTTAATTGACCTTCCTTACACCTATTCTTAATTTCCTTTTTTATTTATATTAAAAAATGAGAATTATAGCTGGGTTGCATAACGAAATACATTAATTGAATTGACCAATAAATTAGGTGTTACTAAATCATGTTTATGATAAGTACCGTTAGCTTGATTCTAATTCATAATTCATTAAATGTTTACTTTATTGATTGTTCTTGAAACTCATCACCCGCCATTGAAGTTATTTTCAKAGTTCATAATGATTGTGTGAGGTGTGACATAATGTTTAATAATTATTTTTAATCATCATTGTAGTCTAACTAGTCATATTATTTATATTTTATTGAAATAACAACAAATTGTATGTTATGATATTTTATCCTATCGATATGATTATGTGGATGTGTTGTTTAGATATATATTTTATCATGTGTAACACACGTTGGCCGGAGTCCCCACTCCAAATTAACCATCGAAAACAAACTCTACTGAATACGTAACTATTATAATTTATAATTTATAAGCTCAGCTAAAGTCGTCGTGACTCGTGGCCAGTCCTGTGATTTGGTATTCTATCTTTGTCGTCGTGTCGATAAACGCAGTTGCAGTGATGACGTCTGTAGGTGCTGCAGAAGAAATAAGTATAAACATCGGGACTCCGTCATCCGCTGTCTCGTTTATGCTGAAAGTTCAGCCGGAAGCTCTGGACGTTCTATCGCCGTGGAGGCATTCCTTCCGTTCTATTTTTCTATTCCAAACATGACAGTGTGATATGGCATATATGCTATAATAGCTGAAACCTAGTCGGGTGTTGACCAGTTGCCCCCAACGGCCAACGGCTGTTATCAGGATCTTAAAAATGTATCATTTTCCCTCAACCTAAATTATATATACATGAATACAATATAAAGCTAGTAAAATAGGGTAGGTAAATATACAAATACCTTATATGAATTATGAATACCGACGGCAAAAAATAATTTATAAAAATAAAATAATAGATATATACATTTCAATATTTGCAATTAACTATATAATAATATGATGTTATATTTGTAATTCATTATATGAAGGTACTTTTTGGAGCAGTCTGAAGGACTCGGTATAATCCATGACTGCAAAGCAGATGGAAATGATTCAGTGCAGGTATCCATGTTCAAACCTAACCACTCATTGTGGAGCCAGACAAAAAAAAATCATCTGGCACATACTTTGTTGTGGGACTTGAATGCTTGATATAGTCTGTAATATACTTGTGTTATTTAGGTATGGATATAATATACTCGTATTCCAAAAATCTTAGAAAAAGTTGATTTACACAAAAAATGTTTTTGTTATTTTATTTGATAAAAAATTATATTATTATTCAATACGCTATTGTAAAATTAATTGCTGTGATTTGGGAGAATCTTGACTATACTGCACTGCCACAGGTATACTTTCGGTTTATGMATCACCCGAGTAAAAATTCCTACGATGAACCTTCAAAAATAAAGTTTGACTAATAATCATGTAAAAATTGCAAAACAAACAATTTCACCAACGTAATTGTTTTCTGAAATAATGATTATCTCACATTTACCCCTAACCCCCATAGCCAAATTAGTGTTTCTCCACACTATTCCCCAATCACTGTGACTTACAGGAAAAACTCACACTGATGACACATTTGATGGTTCAAAAAGTATAAAAGTTATATATATATATTTTTTTTTTAAATATTTTTATATTGTTTTACAATATTTATCAATATTACTAATTAAGTTTAAGTACCTATATGACTTATTGTTTAATGGTTATTTATTTATTTATTAAAATTGTTGTAGGTATAACTGTACAATAGATACTATATTTTTTAAGTTAATTTGTATTTTGTGACCTTGCTTCTTTAAAACTAAAATTGCCATTGACGAAAATTACATTTTATGTACCACGATTGTTTTGCCCTATCCATCTTAAAATTATATATTTATGTTTACGATTACGATGATAATTTAGATAATGTACCTATCAGATAAGTTTTTAATATTGTCCAAAATATCTTCAAACTTCAAATCATTCTATGATTCTTTTTCCATACACATACTTATAAATATGTATCGAATACTAAGTAAATTTGAATTTATTAATAATATTAATTTTATACTATCTTCAACCTTAAATAATAAATAATATGTATACAGTAGTCTGTGATGTAAACGAATAAAAACAATCAATTTTTATTGYCGCCATTTGAAATTAAAATTATTTCATGGAGTAAACAGCGTGTCAGCTGTCATTCGTTCGGTGGTTGTGTTCACTCACAACAGTCCACGCAACCGGAATATTATCACGTTATCATTGATGACTGACGAACAGCCCCAAACGAATTTTACTCTTCTCATCTTGCCGACTGGCGATTGCCATTGCTCGCGGCCGTTTAGTAAATTAATTTTTGATTGGTAATTAAAATATAGTTTCAATTATAAATGTATATATATGAATGACACGTTGTCCTGATTGATCGTATGTTTGATTGTAATCGCTGGGACACTGGTAAACTGCTCCTTGTCAGGCATGTGGAATTAATTATTGGAGGCATTTGTTGATTTGTGTATTCCAATTATCAGCACCGAGATGATGGATTCCAAAACAAAAACCGAAGTCCTATGTTCGCATTGAATAAACACAAGATTATCACCATTACACAGTTAAAATGTGAGTATGATTAAAGTACGATTGAGACCTATTGAAATGGTGACGATCTCATCCAATGCACAGTAGAATACCGATTTATATACACCCACCCAAATGTGAGCTCTTCATTCTTATGTGATTTGAGTGTATACTATTCAAAAGTGTATAATTATCATAGGGAGCTGTCTTGTCAGATAAAAAATGTACACGTGAAGTGAGTCTATTATATAATGTATCACCTGATTATAATATAAAACATGTTAAATTGTTCAATTGGACTTGCTGAAGAAAAATTGTTAAGTTTTAGATATACATTTTTCCTTTTTCTAGCATGAAAACTAACGTATTTGAATTTATAATTTGATACATTTTTCCAATTGTTTCATATTGCTAATGATTACTGGTTGTTTAATTCATTGGTTGACAATTGCTTAATGGTATCCTAATTACCATCAATAATAATAATAGGGCAAAATAGGAATGAATAGGGCCTCAGTTTTTTTTTTTTTT